ATCGATCCACAGACAATTCACACATATCAATATATATGACACGTGTAGAACCACAGGGCACGTGTCAACATCAAATATAACCATGCCAATAGTAAGGTCACTTACCTGGCTAGCTTAAGTCGTTGTCATAAATATATCTTTAATGAAAGTTCGATTCCGTCCTTTGAAAACCGAGTCAACCTATATGAGCTCATGGCATCAGTTTCAAGTTTGAACTCTATAAAATTATTTCTCTAATTTACATTGGCCATCGTAAAATTCTGATATTTAATTTAAAGGAGCTCACTGCCCTATGATATTTCCTGTTTTATTGTTAAATCCTGTTCAACTAATATTTACTCCATCTCCCTCTCTCCCTCTCTCCCTCCCCCTCTCTCTCATTATTTTCATTTTGTAAATACGGTTTTCAATTGTGTAAATAGATNTTTTAAGTCATTATCTTTAAAATTCGTAGTGTTGTAACCTCGTATCATGAAAAGATATTATTAAAAATTAATAAAATTGGCCCATGCAGGTGTCAAACTTACGATCTTCGCGTTATTAGCACGACGCTCTTACCAATTAAGTCAATAGGCCATAGGTTTTATGCACATCGCAGATCGGTAGCTCTTAATCAGTCAGTCGAGTTTAGGTTACATAATTTTATGCATAATAAACTTAAAACTTTAAGTCATTATCTTTTAATGCTTGTAGTACTTTAACCATGTATCATTAAAGATATCATTGAGAATTAATGAAATTGATTCATGCAAGTATCAAACCNAATTATTATTATTTTAACTATTTTCATCATTATTTTTATTTGGTTATTTCTTTATTTATTTTTGGGCTATTACACTCGAGTGTGAGAAGAAACGAGCTAAAGCGCTAAAACCAGATGTGAGGAACTTGCTTTATGCCATAGAGAGCTTTCTTTAATAGACAGACATGAGTGGGAAATGAAGGATCAATATGCCTAGGAGGTTGTTCCATATGAACATGTTCAATAAGAATGTCATTGAGAAAAGCATTCTTGACATCAAGTTATCGAAGAGGCCATTTATTTGTGACCGCAATGGAAAGCACAACACAGACAGTGGTAACTTGGACAATCGAACTGAAAGTGTCGGTGTAGTCAAGACCAGGAACCTGAGTATAACCTTTGGCAACAAGACGAGTCTTGAAACGCTCGACCAATCCATCAGACAAATATTTAATACAAAACACCCATTTCATGCAATTGGCAGGCCCGTCAAGGACATTGATAAAGTGCACTGGTTCCTTCGTGGACTCGGCACTCGGCACCAATTTTTTAGCATTTTCTATTGCTCTCTTCACCCCTCTCCTCTATTTTGCTACAGCGCTCTCATCCCTCTCCCTTATTTTGCAGTTGAGCTTTGGTTGTTCCAGTGCTCCCTTAGTCTTCTAACTCCGCTCCTGCGACATTNATTGACCCATGCAAGTGTCAAACCTGCGCACTTTGCGTTCTAACCAACTTGGCTAATAGGCCAAAGTTTTTATGCTCGTTATAGATTGGTAACTCATAATCTAACCAATAGAGTTCATAATAGAACTTGAGTTTTCAAATTTAAGTCATTATTAGCACAACACTATAACGAAACGAGTCAATAGGCCATAAGATCGGTAGCTCCTAATCTAGTAGTTTAGGTTACATAATTTTATGTATACTGAACTTAAAACTTTACTTTTAAGTCATTATCTTTTAAAGTTTGTAGTGCACGTATCGTTGAGAATGTGACTGCGACCTTAGATAATAGGCCAAAGGTTGTATGTAACCCCTTAATTAAGAGAATTAATCAAATTGACCAATACAAGTGTCAAACTTGCGACTTTTACATTAATAGCACGATGCTCTAACGAACTGAGCTAATAGGCAATAGGTTTTATGCATATTGCAGACTGGTTTAATAGCACGATGCTCTAACGAACTGAGCTAATAGGCAATAGGTTTTATGCATATTGCAGACTGGTAGCTCCTAATCCAGTCAATCAGAACTGAGCTAATAGGCAATAGGTTTTATGCATATTGCAGACTGGTAGCTCCTAATCCAGTCAATCAAGTTTAGGTTACATAACTATGACCTTCACGTTATTAACACGACGCTGTAACCAATTGAACTAATAAGCCAAAGGAATTGAAAAAAATAAAATAAGAAAAACCATATTCATTTTTCACCCAACTTTATGGTTGCATCGAACCTCAGGCAATGTTTATCTTCACCCACCGAATATCACATGTGCAGAATCTAAGCTTATTCGACCACACACGATGTTTGTGCGTGTATGTTCAATCGTCTGCGACACAACCGACTTGCTTGTACACTAGGCTAAGTCATTCGACTCGTCCTTGCCTTTGATCGAGGCCAAGGTCTCTCAATGCAATGCCGCATCCAATATCATCTTGGTTCCCAAGAAACATGGCCCATATGTCTTGACATCATCCCAAGTCATGGGGTGTCATCGATCAACGTAGCTCGCTCGGTCATGCCATCAAGAACGGGTCCACGTGTTGTTCATAACGTCGAGACATCATAAACATGTATCCATATAAAATATATCATGGCATTGGCCCTCCCGTGTCCATGCCATATCATTTACGTACTCTATATTAGAGAGCAGATGCATAATCCAACCTCTTATACATGGCCTAGGGCGTAATATCGGCACACCCATGCTGTAATAACCCGAAAATAATAAATTAATTAATTAATTAATTAAATAAAAATAAAAATAAATAATAATAATAATAAAAAAAAAAAAAAAAAAAAAGACAGCAGCAGCTTGAAGCTGCTGCCATAGAGAAAGGAAGAATGGACAGGTGGTTGAAGGGAAAAGAAAGAAAAGAGAGGAAGATGGAGGTGTGGGAGGTGGTTGGCGTTGGCAAGGCCGACGAGGAAGCACCAAATAATATCGAAGAAACAGAGGAAGAGGGAAACAGAAAACAGGGAGTGTTATAATCCGTGTTTTCCGGCAAAACCTTAAAGTTTTTTTTGGCGTTTTTTGTGACAACGTGCAAACATGAGGATGGGGAGACGATTGTGAAGGCTTTTCAGCCATTGAAGCTCTGAACTAAGCTGATTTAAGCGGTTGTCGCAAAGGTAACGAAAAACCCATATCACCGAACCTTTAAATCTCGATATCTTGGTTCGTATTGTATAATAAGTTATGAAATAGGGCTTGTTAGAAACGTAATAAGGAGATCTATAAATATGTAGAAGGAATCAAGATGAAATTCGAACCGTAGAAGGAGGATATGGCTTCGGGATATAGTAGGTATTAACAGAAAAGATGGGAAAATTTCAGAAAAACGCAAGGAAGAAGAAGAAGCGCGTGAGGGCCGCAACTGGGCGTGCGACTGGGCGTGCTCCTGGCGCGTGGGACAGACACACCGAGGTGCGTGAGGGCGCGTGAAGCATCAGTTCGGTTCCCGGTTTGTCCCGTTTGATTTGTTTTGACTTGTTCTACCTAGATTGACCTATACTTACCTTGAAAATGGTGAAATATAGGTCTAATTGGAAGGAATTGTGTTGAAATACCCTATTAAATGTACAATCAAGAGAGAAAGGGATTCGAAACCAGGTAAGTAGCGTATCGACCTTTGAACTAGTTCTTAACTTGTTTTACAACATGTGAGTATGTTGTTTACCTGATTAAGAGCTTAATAAGTTATGATGAGCTTTGATGATATTTAGTGTTTATTGTATATTGTGACTGCTTGCCTGTGATGTAAGCGTGATATAAATGATTGTCAGAATGTTCTACGTGTTGATCATGATACATGTATGAAAGCATGCAGTAACTGTGAGTATGTTATGCATGTTAATGGAAACGTTATGACTCTAGATATGCTTATTGGTTGTTGAGCTATGGCTTATTTACTGAGTATGATAGTCTACTAATTCCCGCGGAGTTCCTGGCCAACGCGCTGTGTGCTAAGTCAGGGAGCATGAGTACTCCTGACCGTTGGTATATGAGATAAACAGGCCGCCAGAGCAATAGTAGACGGCCCGTATTTGACCGAGAGCGGGTCTTACATACGAGTCCGAAAATTCTAGATAAGCATATCGAAGGAGAGTTAGTAACCTAGCTGGAGGTAGCTGAGATACCTCATTAACGAATAGATGACCCTAGTAAGAGAACTAGGAGTCAATGATGAATAAAACCTAAAAACACCTGGAAAAATTAGTTATGAACTCTTGAATGATAAGCTAGCTACTTACTGAGTAATCTAATTACTCATCAAAATTATTATAACTTTACTTTCCAGATTTAGATGATGCAGGCCAACCGAGGACGAGACCAGTGGACTGAAGACTACTGGGAATCCATGTCTGTGTCTGTTTTGTATATTTATGTTTTCGCTGTCAAGAATTTACTTCGGTTGTTTTAAGTTTAAATAGCACTGGTTTTAAATGTTTTACTGGATGTTTTTTTTTAAATATTTTGAGATTATGATTGGGTGTTAGAGTATGTTGTCGTTGATGATGGTAACTCCTGTTAATCGCGTTGACGATGAGCGGGCGTTACACATGCCGCTCAGTACTTTTCTTAAAAGACCCATCTCAAAGGAAGTCGCCCGAGACACTTGTCTTAGAATGCTCATCCTCATTGTGACACACGTAAGTGCCATAGGTAGCTCACTTAGGCCAGAGGGCGTAGGGCTGGTGGAGGCTGACACCTTGTCTCCCCCTATAGTACATTTTGAGGCATTTTCAAACTAGTGGGCGTAAACATGATTTTGGCGAATGAACATATAGTGTCGTGGAACGTTCGTCCGGTATCTGATTGACACAAAATTTTGCGTGCTTTTATATTTCATAAGGACATACTTGACTTTAGAACCACATGTCTTTATTCCCTTCAGAATCTCAACTTTTGAGATTAAAGCTCAGGGCCTTACTCGACCCTTTAATAAGCCTATTTGTGACGCTCATGTCTGCTCCTTGTTCCTATCTTACTTATGTCTTACTTCCTTTTCAATATGCACGTTATATGGTGAGTTGGATGATGCACTATCCTCCTCAGTCACATCATGACATTATTCTATTTTGAGCGTCGTGTGGTCGGATATGCGCCACGTAAGGGTTTTCGCTTTGCTTGTCTCGATAGGAGGGTCAGAATCTATTCTCTTCATAGTATGGTTTTCATACATGTCACTAGCAGAATTAAAAGAACTCAAGGAGCAACTGTAAATCTTGTTAGACAAGGGTTTCATCTTTCCTAACGTATCTCCTTGGAGTGCACCCGTGTTGTTTGACAATGTGAGATCCCACATTGTTTGGAGAGGGAAACAAGGCACCTTAGTGTCACCTCCCCCTAACAAATGCGTTTTAAAACCGTGAGACTGACGACAATACGTAACGGGGCAAAAGCGGACAATATCTACTAGCGGTGGGTTTCAGTTATTATAGTCAAGAAGATGGATGGATCAATGTATTTATGCATCGACTACAAGGAATTGAACAAAAGAACAGCGAAGAATAAGTACCCTATTTCCTGTATAGAAGATATGTTTGACCAACTCAATGAGGTGACAATGTTCTCCAATATATATCCTTGATTAGGCAACCACTAGATTAAGATTAGAGAGGGAGATGTGCCGAAGATAGCATTCAGAACGATGTACGACCATTATAAGTCTTATGTCATATGGACTCACCAATGTCCTTGTGGTATACATAGGATCAATGAATCGAGTATTCAAGGAGTATCTCACACATCTGTCATTGTGTTCATAGATGACATCTTGGTGTACTCGAAAACGGATTAAGAATAGAAGGTATATCTCTAGAAAGTCCTTTTGATCTTGAGGGAAAAATAAGTTGTATCTAAGTTCTTCAAGTGAGAAGTTTGACTACGACAGGCTCATTCTTAGTGCTCGTTGTGTCAAAGGATGGGGCTTTAGTGGACCCTGCAAAGGTGGAAGTTGTCACCAAGTGGGTTTGCGCTACTATAGTTACTAAGGTACATAGTTTCTTGGGACTGGTAGGGTACTATCAATAGTTCATACGAGATTTTGCCAAGATAACCTCATCACTCATGCCGTTAACTAGGAAAGGTGTTCCATTTATATGGAAAGAAACATGTAAGGCTAGCTTCCAAGATCTGAAATAAAGATTAGTGTCAGTCCTGGTGCTCACGGTTCCAGATATTTCCTATGCTGTCAATTCTGTCTGCCATTTCTTGCATGCTTCTTCTGTAGATCACTTTCTTGCTGTCAAACGTATTCTTCGCTCTGTCAGAGGAACACTCCACTTTGGTTTTACCTTTCGTCCATCCACTGTTCCTAGTACGCTAGTCGCTTATTCGGATGCTGACTAGGTTGGTTGTCCCGATACTCATCATTCTACATCTGGCTTATGATGTCTCACATTGGTTGGGGAGGAGAACAAACCACCATTTATAAGGGTGTGGAAACCTTCCCCTAGCAGACGCATTTAAAGCCTTTAGGGGAAGCCCAAAAGGGAATATCTATTAGCGGTGGATCTAGGCCGTTACAAACGGTATCGAGCCAGGTCAACCTTGCTCTAATACCAACTGTAACGACCCGAAATTTTCTACTTAATTTAAGGTTGCTACTGTATACATATCCTAAACATTGAATGCGGAAGACTTCATTTAAATTAACACAACTATGGACTTACGTGTTTCGAAACATCTTTAAAACGACACAACAAAAGATTAAATAAATAAATAAGCGTTTAAGTTAAAAACATCCTATCTAGCCTAAGCCTAAGAAAATAAATACCATTATCCTATGCATGTGCCATGGTCTTGAGTTGCGATAGGAATGCTTTGCCTTAACCTGAAAAATGTAGTAGCACGTAGCTTGAGTATTTAAAGAAATACTCACTAAGTGACTCCACTATAGGGGTTAAATGCAAGAACATGCAAATGCAATGACGGGACCTATCCTTTCAATCTATTTTCCTACAATGTTGTCGTAACGGGTAATTTGGACGTGTACCATATCTCTACACACATCCCATACATGCGAGTATGGGCTCACCAGTCAATTCACACACCGCTGGGCCACTTTCCTTGTCGGGCGAGCATACTCTGGGAGCCCTTAGGCCGAACACCTGTTAGAACTAGTAACCGTTACGGCAGCGCTATACAAAACATAACGATCGTTGTCCTACCATTGGAGGTATGCGTTCGTACCCTTGTGATGGAATAGGGGAATCCCTCAAAATGCATGAGCACACATAATGCATGAGGTCCTCAATATTTCTACTTTTATCACTAATGAATATAACCCCGCTATCATCTTTCATGCTTAACATGTCATTTCTCATTTTTCAGTCTATGTATCATACATAATCCTAACGTGGTTACATTTCATTTCATTTATCATGATATCATGTCATTCATAACATGTTGTATACATACAATTTAGAAAACATAACATAACGCTCCATGCTTTTAACATGTCATTTCATAACGTGCAATTGATACAACAATTACCTCAATTGTCACACAAAACTATCATAGTCATATCGTTACGTGATCGTACCTTAGTCATATCATCACAGGAACATATCCTAACGCTATCGTTCTATCAATCTATTACAAACCTATCCCTTTCTACCCATATCCTAACCATATTCTTTCATCAATCTCTCCTATCCATAGCACTCCGGTATGTAACCTAACCTTAACGTTTCATGAACGTATCTTACTCCTATTGTTACATTTCGGTTTGTGCATCCTTCTCGTATCCTATCTCAAACATATCCTTGAACACATCATACCACATATTATAACATAACATAAACATAATATAAGCATACTGATTCACCGATAATTCACACATATCAATATATATGACATGTGCAAAACCACAGGCACGTGTCAACATCAAATATAACCATGTCAATAGTAAGGCCACTTACCTGTTTAGCTTAAGTTGTTGTCACGAATATATTTTTAATGAAAGTTCAATTCTATCATTTGAAATCCAAGTCAACCTATGTGAGCCCATGACATCAGTTTCAAGTTTAACATTACTTACACTCTACTATATAATTCAAGGAAAAGAAAACATAAATTCGTAACATAAAGATAGCATTGATACAAGATGACATCATAGCATAAAATCATACAGTATCATCACATTCAATTTTTAAAGCCAATCACATTAAATATATTACCCAAAAAAAAAAAAAAATATCCGTCCTTCCCTCATCCAACAAAGGTGTACCTGACAACGACGGAGCATCGGCGATTGAACCGTAGAACATACCAAGCATTGACTACATTGGCCTTGTACAACCAGGGAGGGGGGTGATTCTAGCCTGGTTGTAAAGGAAAGGAGAAAACAATAGAATGATGAGAAAAATGAATGATAGGAAAGTTTTAATGAGCCATTTCTTTAAAATATAAATAAATAAATAAACATGTCCACCCCAGTCTTGAGCCAAAGTGGCCAGGTAGAAACCAAATCTAACCTTTGGTTTCGAACAAAAGCCTGTTTCCTCAAACATCTTACACCTAAATTCTAAGAGGTAATTAACACAAAATCCAACTCCTTGCATCATAGATTTTCATCAATCACAACAACCATCTTCCTTCTTTAAAGCATTTCTAAATTCAGATAAAAATACCAGCGCAAAAATAGAAAGGGATATTTCATCTCTAGTCTCAAAATTACTAATTAGAGAAAACCAACCAATATCAAGTTAAATTTTAATATTCCTTCGAAGATGTCAGCAACAGTGAAAGAAGACTGTGTAAACACAACTATCAAGATCATGTGTGTCCATGCATACTGGCCAAACTGATATTTGTACATCTTCTTTTTTTAGAGTAAGAATGAACCACATAAAACCTGATCCAGTTGTTGCTAATGCAAAGAGATGTCCAAGGTATATTGCTAATTCAAATCCTCCAATCATCCAGATAGATGAATAGGCACGAATCAACATCGACTTGTATTTATTTCTATCATTAACAAGTAAATGGCTTCCATTTGACTTCAAATCCTCCGGAATCCCCTGAAAATTGGGGAGAGAGAGCTCAACCACTCATTAATTTTACAAAACCATTACACAATCCAAGAACACTGAAAACATTTTTCCCCTGTAATCTCATTAAAAAGGAAAATGAACAAAAAAGGAAACAGCATCACCTATTATTTTTTTTTAATGGTAGATAAACGCTAATCCAATAGCACCAAATTACCCCCAACAAAAAAAGAAAAAGAAAAGAAAAATAGCTCTGTCCATTTCTGTGTAGAGTTGGATATGTGGTACTTCCCGACACATGACTCACGCACATGGATCCACCAAACGGGCTCGTATATGTACCCCTGGGTCTAACTTGGTCGAGTTAAACACAATAACGCATCGTCAAACGCCACAATGCATGAGGTTCCCATAACATAACATAACAGGAAAGTATCCTAATGTACATGACATACGTAAATACATGAGGTTCCCATGGATTAAAATCAAAATCATTTCGCTCTTCCTTTCATTCATGTCATAGCACACATGTGCGTCACGAATGCATAGTAATCATTATGACTTTCATATTGCATCATCATATAATCTATAACGTGGCTTTACATGGCAAAGCATAGCATGACATATCATGGCATAATAGAACATCACATACATAACATAACGTAACATCATACGTTATCACATAGCATACATAAGCATAACATAACATTATGACGCATGCAGGCTACTCACCAAATTATGGCCAAGTTATGAGTTTTGGACTCCTTTTGATGGTAGATTCATTGTGTAATTTCCTAGAACATAGATCATTTTGGTATTTCTTTTCTACCACAATTAAGAGATTGGTAATGAAATTAGTGTCATTTTGAAGAAAAGTGAATTTAGAATTTCACTTGCTGAAATGGTTTCGAAACGATAATTTTACTTCTAGTAGGGTTGAATCTGTGCAATACCTCGAGACTAATATTGTAATAGCTCAAGTCTACCGCTAATAGATATTGTTCTCTTTGAGCTTTTCCTTCTGGGCTTCCTCTCAAGGTTTTAAAACGTCTCTCCTAGGGAGATGTTTCCACA